TCTGTCCCTGCTCTCGCTGCGCCTGCGCAACCCTGATCGCGTCCGCGGCGGCAGCCTTCTCGTACGCTCTCTGCGCGGCGTTCGCTCTCGCGGTCGCCGCCTCCGCGGCGGCGGCGACCGCGGCTCTTTGCTCGTCAGCCGCGCGATCCTCCCACGACGCGGCGTCCTCGTCGCCCCATCCACGCGCGCTCGCGGCCCGCGCTTCTTCCTCCTCCGCGCGTCGCTTCGCCTCCGCCGCCTCCGCCGCCTCCGCCGCCTCCGCCTTCGCGAGCTCTTCCTCGGTCTCACGCAGCGCGTCCTTCATCTCCGCGAGCCGCGCGGTCGCAGCCTTGGACGCCTCGAGGAGCTCCGCGTTCACGCGCTTCGCCTCTTCCACGGCGGCGGCGGCGGCGGCGGCTTCCCTCTCCGCGCGCGCCGCGTCGACGGCGGGGAGGGGGACTTCCACGGCCTCCACGACCTCGACGGGGGAGGGACTCGAACTCTTCTTCGCGCCGTTCTTCGCGCCGGCGCCGGCGACGCGCGCGTTCACCTCGTTCACGAGGCTCTCCGCGACGTCGTCCGTCGACGCGCCTCCGGGCGTTTCCTCAGGCTCCTCGACGACCGCCGGCTCGATCGTCGCGGGCTTGGGCTCGACGACGATAGCCTCGGGCGCCGCCTTTGCCTTCTTCGCGCGCCCTTCGCGCTTCTTCTTCTCCGCGACCTCTATCGCCGCCGCCTTCGGGCTCTTCAAACTCGACGGCGTCGGCGTCTTCTTCGCCGCCGTCGACTCCGACTTTGACTCGGACGACGGGGGAATCATTTCACTCGCCGCCGCGACGACGAAATCATCCTCGTCCTCGTCGACGCTCTCTCGAATCATCTCGCTCGCGGGCTGCAGCCCCCTCGTGGCGAGGACGTACCGCTCGATCGCGTCCGCGACGCCGCCGTCGTCGTTGCTCAGCCCGACGTTTCCGTTCGCCGCCTCGATCACCTTCTCACCCGCCCCCTTCATCGCGACGGCGACGCCCGCGAGCCGCAGCATCTCGACGTCGTTCTCGCCGTCTCCGAGCGCGAGGACGTTCTCCGGGTTCACGCCGAGACGTTTCAGGAGCCTCTCCACCGCCGCGCCCTTGGACGCGCCTCTCGGGAGAAACTCCAGCATCCCGGGCACCGCCGTCGTGACGACGACGTCGCCTTCGAACATCGCCTCCGCGTCCGCGCGCACGTCCGGCATGTCCTCCTCGGACGCGAAGAGAAGCAGCTTGTTGATCTCGATCCCCGCGTCGACGCACCCCTTGACGAGGTCGCCCACCGGCTCGGGCGCGGGCTCGCCGTACGCGAGCACCAGGTCCGTCTCTTCGCTTCGCTCGGCGCACAAAATTCTCGACCCGCAAAACGCGATCGTCGTCAGTCGCTTGCCGTCCGCGAACCGCACGATGCTCTTCGCGATGGCCGGCGGGAGCGTCACGCTCTCCAACACCGTGCCGTCCGCGTCCGTGGTGAGCAGCCCCTGGATGAACACCCCGGGCATCGGGATCGGAATCTTCGGCGCGACGGCGTTCGCGTGCCACGGCCCGCGGGTTTTCCCAGTCGCGAGCACGGTCGGGACGCCGCACGCCGCCGCGCGCGCGATGGCCACTTCCGTGCGCATCGTGAGCTCCTGGTCGCGGTTTAACAGCGTGCCGTCGACGTCGGTGACGATGAGGTCGATCGTCCGCGGCCACTTCGAGGACGGAGTCGCGACGACGTCCGCCTCGTCCGCGGAATCCGCGAAGGAGACGGCCTCCGCGGTAGTGATGGTTCTGCTGGACTTGCCGCCGCGTCGACTCGCCGCGGAGGAGGAGGATTTGCGTCGCGCGCCCGTGCGCGCGCGCGCGTCCTTGACCTCGCGCTTCGCGCTGGAGCCTCCCGCGCCGGCGGGCGGGGTCGCCGCCGTCTTCGTGCTCTTCGAGCGGCCGCCCGCGACGACGACGCGCGTCGTCGTCGTCGTCGTCGTCGTCGCCGCGCGTCGGCGGCTCCGAGCGGCGAAATTATCGCATTGTTCCTCCGACGCGCGTCCGCCGCCGCGGTAGAACGCGGACGACGGCGCGACGCGCAGGGACGCGACGGACGCCGCGAGCGCGCGCGTCGCCATTCGGACTCGCTATGAGCGTCGCGCGCGTGAGGCGGCGAGCGTGCGGTGCCGCGACGCAGTGCGGCGTTCGGCGGCCAGTTGGCAATAATCTTAGAGACCCCTCCGAGAGAAAGAGGCGGGAATCGCGAGTTGGCCCGTGACGTGGCAAGCCGTACGACGTCGTATGCGCGATTAGTCACTACAAGAAAACGTACTACGTACCCGACTACCGACCGACCTCGTCGTTGGTTTCGACGAGCTTCTCTTCCGAGAGAGCGCGCTGAGCCATAGCCATCGCCTTCCGCGTCCGCGCCGGACGCGACCGCGACGAGCGCGCGCGCGATCATGGCGACGCTCCACGCGGCGACGTTCCACCACCGCGCGCCGCCGCCGCCGTCGCCGTCGCTCGCGTCGCGTCGCGCGGCGACGCCGACCGCGGCGACGGCGACGGCGACGGCGTCGCCCTCGCGCGCGACCGCGGCGCGCGTCCCCGTCGTCACGCGACGCGGCGCCGCCGTCGTCGCGAACGCGAGCGAGCCGTCCTCGTCCGGCCGCGGCGGCGACCTCGCGCCGCGCGACGCGAGCGACCTCCTGATCGACCCGTTCGCGCTGTTGGACCAGCGCGCGTTCCCGTCCTCGTCGCTGCTCGGTCGCGACTTCGAGCGCACGTTTCGCGAGGTGGACGATGTGTCCGCGCGACTCGAGGAACGCGCATCTCGCGTCGCGACGCCCGGACGCACCTACCGCCGCGAAGAGCGAAGCGAGAGAAGCCTCCCGGGCGGCGGGTACAGCAAGACGTACTACAGCGAGTCCGTCACGACGTTCTCGGGGCCGGTGGACGTGGGGTCGATGCTGCCGTTCGGCGGCGGCGCGGGGCTCTTGTTCGCCGTCGCGGCGGCGGCGATGGCGGCGAAATACGCGCGGCTCGCGCGCGCGTTCGCCGCGGGGTTCGCGGCGACGTCGTACCGCGAAGACATCGGGTTCTTCGCGAAGCTCAGGCTGGTGTTGTTCTGGCCGGCGCTGTGGCTGACGGACGCGAGGGGGTTTCGAAGCGAGTTCGCGCGGGCGCTGCGGGCGGCGGAGGGTGGCGACGCGTCGAAGACGAAGAATCCTCCTGAACCGCCGCCGCCGAGGATCGAGGGGGGCGACGAGACGCGTTAGATAGACAGACGGACGACGCGTCCGCGTCGCCGTTCCATGAAAAAAACCCTAAGAACTACCAAACCCTAAACCCTCCGCCACCATGCCACCCTCCTCCCTCCGGTCTCATCAGTCGCGCAGGTGAAACGACGTGCAGGGATTTTGCATAAAAGCGTGCGACGTCGACATGGCGAACGGAAACACCGGATGAAACACGTGCGTGACGCTCCGTTTCTGCCGCGCGTGTATCCCCGCGATCGCCTCCGCCGAGAGCGCGAGCTTGAACCTGACCGTGCGCACCGACCCGGCGGCGCCGTGGCTCCCGCCGCCGTACGGACTCGCGGACGCGTCGTCGTCGTGATCGTCGGCGGCGTCTGCGTTTTCATTTTTTTTGCGCCTCATCTTCTTCGCCTCTTCGTCTCGCGCCAACCTCGCCTTGACGCGCGCGACGCGCGCTTTCCCCGCGGCGAACCGCGTGGAGCTCTCCACCGCGGCTCTGGCGCGCTCGTCCGGGGACGCGGACTTGTGATCGAAGGCGAACAACCTGTGGTCGTAGTACGGCGACGCGCACCAGTGCCCGTTCGGCGCGTGCGGCGCCGCGAGCGACGGCGACGGCGACGGCGTCGACGGGTCGCCCCCCCCACGCTCCCCGCCGCCGACGCCGCCGACGCCGCCGACGCCCGCCGCGAGCCGCTGCCAGAGCGTCCCCTCCGGTGGCGGCGCGCCGTCGCCGCCGTCGCGCGACGGCCACGGCGACGGAGCGGCGGGGGCGCCGGGCCCCGCGTCGAGGTGGACGTCCGATAAGACGTCGCCGGTGACCCAGTCCACGACGGCGACCAGCGCCGTCTCCGGGCCGTCGCCGCTCTGTCCTCCTCCTCCTCCTCCGCCGCCGCCGCCTCTTCTTCCGTGCTTCTGCCCCCACGAGAGGACGTCCTCCGCGGCGCCGAACCGCAGCGATATCCTCCGCTCGTCCAGAAGTTGCGCGTGCCAGATGCACAGCCATTCGGCGTATCGCCAATACCGCGAGCGAAACGCGGAGACGTGCCGCCGCGTCTTCTCCTCGCGATCCTTCCGAAGCGCCTCGAGCAGCACGCGCGTCATGAGCTTCTGTTTTATCCCCGTGAACATCTTCGAGTCCGGGGAGGACCACGGGATGACCCCGGCGGGGCCCAACGACGGGTTTCGACCCGCGGACGCGAGGTTCAGCTGCGAGTTGACCGAGTGAATCTTTCGAAGTTTGACCGCGTTTTCAATCGGCAACGCGTGCGGGAGGTTCGCGTCGGCGTCGTCGTCGGCGGCGCGCTCCAGCCACGCCTTCTCCGCGGCGTCTTGCGCGCGCAGAGGCTCTTCGTCGTCCGGCGCGCAGTGCGCGCCGAGCGGCGGGCGCGCGGTCGCGAACGACGCGGTCTCCTCCCATTCCGTCGTCTCGGGGAGGCGTTCGGCGGCGGCGTCGTCGAAATCGTCGTCGCCGCCGCCGCCGTCGCGTCTCCTTCGTTTCTTCCTCGCGCGAAGCCTCGATTCGCCCCCCGCCGCCGCCGCCGCCGCCGCCGCGGTCGCCGCCTTCGGCACGCGCTTCCTCTCCACCCTCAACACGTGCACCGTCTGCCACCGCAGCGACGTCACCGTCATGAGCTCCACGTCATCGCTCACGCGCAGCGTGCTCACCGCCGCGGCTTTCCGCAACCGCGCGTAGTCGTCCCGAAACACGCGGCGGTCGCACAGCTTGCCGTCGCGC